GCGGCGGGGACGGGGCTCCGTGCGGCACTGGGTGCCCAATTGCTGGGTGCCCTCATGGCTGGTGGGGGGGAACACCCATGCCAGGACCCCCGTGAGGATCTGGGCTCCTTGGGTTGCCTCCAGCCCCCCAAGATGAGGTGGCCATGCTCTTGGGGAAGTGCATCCCCAGCCAGATGTCCTCCAAAACCCTTTTGGGGTGGAACTGGGTTCCTGCCATCCGTAGGTAGGCAGGTGGCAAGTGGCTCCCCACCCCCCCAGGGGATTTTCTGCCCGTGGCCGGACGCTGCCCTGCTTGCAGCCACGGCCATGGCTTCCCTCCTGGCAGGTTGGTGGTGGCGGTGGAAGAAGCCTTCACCCACATCAAGCGGCTGCAGGAGGAGGACCAGAAGAACCCACGGGAGATCATGGACCCGCGGGAGGCGGCTCAGGCCATCTTCGCCTCCATGGCCCGGGCCATGCAGAAGTACCTGCGCACCACCAAGCAGCAGCCCTACCACACCATGGAGAGCATCCTGCAGCACCTTGAGTTCTGCATCACCCACGACATGACACCCAAGGTGCGCGGGGGGCACGGCGTGGTGGGACGGGTCTCCAGCTTGGCCCAAGGGCTTGGTCCAGAGTGTGAGGGCTTGGGCAGGTTTTGGTCTTTTTTTTCCCCACCACGTGAGAGGGGTCCCCCACCCAGGAGGACGAGGGGTTGGGGGATGGAGCCAGAAAAGGGGGTGTAACCCCAAGGGAGCAAGGCGCAGTGATGGGAACCAGCCGCGCGGGGACGTTTTTCCTGCAGGACCTGCCGAGCAGCTTGAGGCTGCAAAAATAAAAATAGGCTGAGCCATGGGAAGGCGACGTTCACGTGTCCTTTCCCTCCTTCAAGGCGTTCCTTGAGCGGTACCTGACGGCCGGGCCCACCATCCAGTACCACAAGGACCGCTGGCTGGCCAAGCAGTGGACGCTGGTCAGCGAGGAGCCGGTGACGAACGGCTTGAAAGATGGGGTGGTCTTCGTGCTGAAGCGCCAGGATTTCAGCCTCGTGGTGAGCACCAAGAAGATCCCTTTCTTCAAGCTCTCGGAGGAGTTTGTGGACCCCAAGTCGCACAAGTTCGTCATGAGGCTGCAATCGGAGACCTCCGTGTGAGCTGAAGAGGGATGGAGAAGGGTTGGGGGGGGGAGACCCTCTCCGGACCCCTCTGTCTCGTCCCCCCCGTCTCCACCGGAGCTCAGGGAGGCCACGGCTTGAGGGCAGAACTGCGGTGGGCGCCGGGAAGCAGCACCCATGCCCAGCTCCATCACCTACCTGTGACCACTCGCCTTCTGCCTTGGCTTGGCCCCCGTTGGGGTGGGCTGAGCCCCTTCCTCCTCCTCCTCCTGCTCCTCCTCCTCCTCCTCCTTCTCCCCGAAACCCAGGTCCGTGTAGCATCCCCCCAGAAGGCGCAGCCGGCGGCGGAGAGCGGCGCGGCCAGGAAGGAGACGGCGTTTCGGTGCCATAACTCAAGGGCTAACTCTACGTGTTCTTCACCAGCGTCTTCAAGCACCATCAGGTCCCAGGGACCTCCTGCGCTTGCTACCTGGCAGCCGTCCTGGCTCTGACCTTAAACCACCGCCCGCCGTCTGGGGCTGGTTTTTAATCTTAACAGTTCTTTTTTTGAGGGGGGGAAGTATTTTGCAAACACCTCCGTGATCCGTGGCTGCTATGAAAACCTCCCCCGGCATCCGAGACACCAGAGCGGCGATGCTCCTGGATGTAGGAACGTCCTCGCCTCTCTGCTGATGGTTTCCGTGCTCGGCTTTTAGCAAAAGCGAGTGAAAAGCTGGTTTTTAAGAGAAGCAGAAGGGGTTTTTTGAAGTGGTTTCCCTGCTCCCGAGGTGACCCATGTCCCTGGTCCCAGCAGCTTCCCTGCGGGGCTTCCCCACGGGTTGGAGCTGCAGCCGTGGGTTGCAGGCAGAGCAGCTTGAAGTGGCTCTTGGGGTGCAAGCCCGAACCCGGAGCCAGTGGGGTGAATGAAACGAGGGGTTCCTGGCGAGGGTGATGAGGGTGATGAGGGCTGGTGGCTCAGTGAGATCCTTAATTAATGTCCCATGGTGGCAGGTGGCCTGCGGTGGGTCCCCCCCTTGCCGTCAGGGACGCAGAAGCTTTTGGCCTTCCCTTGGTTTTGTTAAGGTCTCAAATACCTCATGGATTTATTTTAAATTTAGGGTTTCCCCCCCCTCCCCCAGCTCTGGATCCCCTTATCCAGCCACGCTGTGCCAAGTCAGGGGTTTTGTGGGGTTCCGGGGCGGGGGGGGGGGGGTCGTGGC